CGTCACAGTGCCATGGTCAAATGGAAGAAGCGACACAATCTTACCAGCCTCCGTCTTGCTCATCGAAGCGGCGCATGCAGCTTGCGACCCATTCATCGAGTATGTGTCAAACGCATACTTGAGATCTGGGTGCGCCTCGGCAATGCGCTTCGGCGTCTCGCTGTTCGAGTACTCATACAGCTCCGACGCACCAAGCGACTTCAGCCAATCGAGATGCTTCGCCGACGCTGTCACAATCACATAGGCACCAATAGCACGGGCCATCTGAATCACAAACTGGCCTACCGACGAGGCACCCGACCACACAAGCACCTTCAGCTTCGGATCCACCGGCGGGAGCTCGGTTCCACTTGGCTCTGGCAAGCCGAGTTGCTTGTTCTGAAACAGTCCAAAAAGAGCTGTTATGCCAGCTACACAGAGACCAGATGCCTCCTCATCCGACATCGAGTCTGGGACAGCCACAACGTACTCAGGCATCGTCGCAACGTACTGCGCAAACGCACCAACGCCAGCATCCCAACCACCGTGCAAGAAGCCAGCAACGCGGTCTCCAACCTTTACACTCGTACCAGCGTCGGGGGCTTTCTCAATCACAGTGCCCATGAAGTCGAAACCAAGAGTCGCGCCCTCCTTGCCAAAGTAGTCCAAATGCTTCCAATCTGTGGGGTTGAGGGCATTGCAATGAACCCTAACGAGGATAGAGCGTGGTCGAAGTTTTGGTGCCTCAACATGTTTCACAGATGCAGCTGACTTGCCATCCACAATCATTGCTTCCATTCCAGGCATGTTGAACGGTCTCGAAGAAACTGTGTCAGTCAAAACTCTCACGCAGGCGTTTGTAACTGTTTCGTATTGGAGTTCGGTCGAGCCACGCTCGTGTGGAATACATGCAGGGATTGGCCAATGGACGCTCATAATCACACATGGCACAAGCAGTTCTTCCGCGCACCTTACTAGAGACCCCTTCAATCTGGCTCGACAAAGTTCAATATCAGATCAGAGCTCTAATTTATCAAATTGCGCCATCCAATCGCTCGCAGCTCAGGCGCAGCTCATGAATCTAAATGCCATATTTTCCATCTACTCAATTTTGTACACTAGCTTCTCTCCAGACACCTTGTTGTGGCGCATAAGGTCAAGGCCACTCAGAATGCCCGACAAGCCACCCGTCTGAGGGCTCGTGCGGTTCGGCTTCACCAGGCCAGACGACAGCAAGCGGTAGAACAGACCGTCCTTTCCATTGCCAACACCAGCCATATACTTCGCATCTTCCTTGCAGTACTCTTCATCGAAATCAGCGGAGAAGATCTGAGTCCTCTGGCCCGAAATAGTGTACAGAACGAAGAACGTGCACTTAGCCATAGGGTTGGCCTCCGTCACAGTGCCATGGTCAAATGGAAGAAGCGACACAATCTTACCAGCCTCCGTCTTGCTCATCGAAGCGGCGCATGCAGCTTGCGACCCATTCATCGAGTATGTGTCAAACGCATACTTGAGATCTGGGTGCGCCTCGGCAATGCGCTTCGGCGTCTCGCTGTTCGAGTACTCATACAGCTCCGACGCACCAAGCGACTTCAGCCAATCGAGGATGCTTCGCCGACGCTGTCACAATCACATAGGCACCAATAGCACGGGCCATCTGAATCACAAACTGGCCTACCGACGAGGCACCCGACCACACAAGCACCTTCAGCTTCGGATCCACCGGCGGAAGTTCGGTTCCACTTGGCTCTGGCAAGCCGAGTTGCTTGTTCTGGAACAGTCCAAAAAGAGCTGTTATGCCAGCTACGCCGAGACCAGATGCCTCCTCATCCGACATCGAGTCTGGCACCGCCACAACGTACTCTGGCGTCGTCACAACGTACTGGGCGAACCCTCCGACGCCAACTTCCCAGCCACCGTGGACGGTACCTGCAACGCGATCGCCAACCTTGACACTCGAACCAGCGTCCGGAGCCTTTTCAATCACGGTGCCCATGAAGTCACACCCGAGTGTCGTACCTTCTTTGCCGTAGAAGTCCAAATGCTTCCAGTCGGTGGGGTTAAGCGCAATGCATTGCACCCTAACGAGAATAGAGCGTGGCTGCAGCTTTGGTGCTTCAACGTGCTTCACAGATGCGGCTGACTTGCCGTCCACAATTACTGCTTCCATTCCAGTCATGCTGTAAGAATTCAGACTGTTGTTACTGGAATTTGCTTGAGTTGACGCTTATATAATTTTGAATTGGAGTTCGAACGGGCCACGTGAAATGGATGTGCGCAGGGACCGTCCAATCGGCGTTTCTGGTCGCACGCGACACGACTCGTCATTCCGCGGACTGAGGACTCTTCATTCCTAATTGACTAGTTACTCATGTATGACCCGCCTAACCGTCCGCAGCTGAGGTGCGTGCTCATATGAAAAACCAAATGTGATATTGTCCATCTACTCAATTTTATACACTAGCTTCTCACCCGACACCTTGTTGTGGCGCATAAGGTCAAGGCCACTCAGAATGCCCGACAAGCCACCCGTCTGAGGGCTCGTGCGGTTCGGCTTCACCAGGCCAGACGATAGCAAGCGGTAGAACAGACCGTCCTTTCCGCTGGCAGCGCGGATCATGTACTTCGCATCTTCCTTGCAGTACTCCTCACTGAAATCAGCGGAGAAGATCTGAGTCCTCTGGCCGGAAACGGTGTACAAAAGAAGGAACGTGCACTTAGCCATAGGGTTGGCCTCCGTCACAGTGCCATGGTCAAATGGAAGAAGCGACACAATCTTACCAGCCTCCGTCTTACTCATCGAAGCGGCGCATGCAGCTTGCGACCCATTCATCGAGTATGTGTCAAACGCATACTTGAGATCTGGGTGCGCCTCGGCAATGCGCTTCGGCGTCTCGCTGTTCGAGTACTCATACAGCTCCGACGCACCAAGCGACTTCAGCCAGTCAAGGTGCCTAGCAGACGCTGTCACAATCACATAGGCACCAATAGCACGGGCCGTCTGAATCACAAACTGGCCTACCGACGAGGCACCCGACCACACAAGCACCTTCAGCTTCGGATCCACCGGCGGAAGTTCGGTTCCACTTGGCTCTGGCAAGCCAAGGTGCTTGTTCTGGAACAGTCCAAAAATAGCTGTTATGCCAGCCACACCGAGACCAGATGCTTCCTCATCCGACATCGAGTCTGGCACCGCCACAACGTACTCTGGCAACGTCACAACGTACTGCGCAAACGCACCAACACCAACTTCCCAGGCACCGTGGACCATGCCGGCAACGCGGTCGCCAACCTTGACATTTGTACCAGCGTCGGGTGCCTTTTCAATCACAGTGCCCATGAAGTCAGACCCGAGGGTCGTGCCTGCTTTGCCGTAGTAGTCCAAATGCTTCCAGTCGGTGGGGTTAAGTGCAATGCATTGCACCCTAACGAGAATAGAGCGTGGTTGCAGCTTTGGTGCTTCAACATGCTTCACAGATGCGGCTGACTTGCCATCCACAATCACTGCTTCCATTCCAGTCATGCTGTAAGAATTCACAGACTTCTACTGTCCAAATTCGCTCGAGTTGGCGTTTATATAATTTTGAATTGGAGTTCGAACGGGCCACATGAAATGGATGTGCGCAGGGACCGTCCAATGAACGCTCATATTCACGTACAATGCACGCGGTTTGTCCGCGAACTTCGCTTGGGCCCCCTTCATTCAGGTTCGGCAAAGTTCGTCACACACACGGTGCGTAGTCCTACCGCATAAGAGCGACCCAATCGATCGCAACTTGGGCTCAGTACGAGAACCAAAAATTGCACATACGTCCTTCTAATTGCGTGAGTGAGAGGAGCGGAGTGCGTGAAAAAACCAAGACATGGCCGCCGTTCACACGCTCTGGGCGTTCCAAGCCCAGCCAGCGACGCGTGAATTGCGCCAGCGCCAAGCACATCATGCCGACTTGAATGAGGCAGACTCATCGGAGGACGAGATCGACGACACGTCGCCGCTTCGTGATGAGGGCATGGTGTTCAATGGCTTGCGCGCATCGATGACCTCAGGCGGTCTTCCTCACGACATGTTGGCTCTTGCTGAGCAAGCTGAAGACAGACGTTGGCTCCAGTCGACGAATGTCGTAGCGCGTGCAGGATCTACACAAGAGACCGCGGAAGTGGCAACACGGCAAAGGACTCTTCAAGAGGCCCGACGTGCGGCACGTGGGCAGCATTTACCTTGGCGTGGACAGGCAGCGGAGGATGCTCGTCTGCTACGCGTCCTCGATGGCGTGCCGCCTCTTGGCAGCACAGATGATGCTGACCAACTGAGCGACTGGGAGGAGACGTTCGAGATTGCAAAACAGGAACGAATACGCTTTGGTGAGCGAGATATTGTGCAGATTGGACGAAGGCGCACGTTGCACGAAGAAGAACTGAGCCGTGCCGACGACGACATACAGCAGCGACCATCTGCGATGGGCATTACGGACGTATCACCCCTGCCTGATTTGATGCCGCCGCCGCCGCCTTTACTGGTTCCCACACCATGGGATAGCATGAGTGCTGATATGGATCCTAATTCAGCCTCTTGGTCAGATACATCACGCTCGTATTCTCGACTCAGCATACCCACGCGTCATGGGAATCGGCCAAGGACGTCGCTCCCGCATCGATGGACTCCGCAACGCATACCTGCAACCAATGCGGCTATAGCTGTTGCTGCCTTGGATCATGTGGCTCAACAATCGCACTACATGGGAGTTGATTTGGATGGGGATGTGGACGATATGGATACATCTATGTGAAAAATACGTAATGATGGAATATATGTTTGAACAGCTGGCTGGATTACAGACACACCATCCAGTCAAAGTCCCAGAGACGTTTGTACCCTGTATGATAGGTTGTTGAACAATTGTTGATTTTTTGTGGGCTCTGAGAATATTTAGCTCGGTGTGTGAAGCTGAGCACTGAGCCTCTCAATAAGAAAGCGGCGGCCTATGGGATGAATGGTTGCATTTTCAGCCAAGGCCTGATCAGCCTGGATCTGGGCAAGTGATTCGGGATTCTTTGCCTGCTTCACATCGGATGGCAGCTTGCGCAACGCGGCGCCAGGCATATACATAGAGTAATCGCCACCGCGGACTTGGCTATCAAGGAGAGACTGCATCACGTTCTTTTGTCCAGGTCCAACGCCAAGTTGAACGCCTTTTGGTACAGCGATAGGTGGTACGACGCACATGCCTGGTGTTTCGTGTTCTACAACAAGCGCAGCACCACGTCTCTTGTTCAAGAGTGTATTGGCACGGCTTGCCTCTTTCGCCGTCATGACACGGGACTTGAGTTCTGTTATTGAGGCACCTGAGCCGAGAGGCACACGGTACATCGTCTTTATGGGTTTCCGATTGGGAATCTGGGTAGCAGGGTTTGCCCAGTTCGTTGTGGGCATGCTAGGTTGAGGAGGGGGCGCATATCGTTGGGTAAAGTGGAAGGACTCACCCTGAAACGAGAACTTGATGACCTTCTCCACGGGCGTCGACAGGGCGTTAGCTCCATTTCCGCGTCTCTTTGCTACAGAAGAAACCCCACGATTCCATGAAGGGACCCGTTGCACTGGGCATGAACACACTCTCAGCATATTTCTGGTGCCACAGCGTTCACAAACGAAGTAAGGACGCTCTGTTCTTGAGGGCGAATGGGAGCGGATTGACAAACCGACGCTGTATGAAGAAGCGGTGTATTTTTGCAATATGTGTCACATGAAAGAGGTGGTGGAGTCGGGGTTAGCGCTAGAGTGATTGTTTCGCTTGAATCTCGCGCGTCTGAAACTTGTCCACAACACCGGGGAAGACTCGAACGCATACTGATCTTTAGCACACGAATACCCCTACCGGCCATATGAGTGCAGCAGAGTCGGCGGCGCCACAGCAACTTGGAGACTGGATCGAGTCCCTTCTCTCGAAAATTGAGAAGCGTTTCGACGAGCAGAACAACCAGGTCGTGGATCGGAGTAAGTATAGAGTATGGTTGCGAGCTTATGACAGTGAATGAGATGGCTGATCGCATTGATGCACTTGAGTCTTCAATTCAAGGTACGCTTTTCACTGGCTGAAACAATAGAACTCGTTCATGGCTCGGATGCAAAACCATCACCACCGTCGGAGTCACCAGCGGCCTGATCTCTCCCATACAAAGATGACGCATGTTGTATTGCCCACAATGACGCCGTGCGTACGCGCATGTGGCTGCGCAAGTGTCACCTTACATCCCTTTGCTTGGACTGGCAGTCTCTTTGCCTCTTTTTCTTTTCTCCTAGCCAGAACTACATGGACCTATGTAGTGCGGCGCCCAAACGTGAGCCCGTAGCCGTATACGGGTTCACCACGCTCAAGTGTCGGCCAGCTTTCGCCCTCGAACTGCTTCACGAGGACAAGATCCAACTTCATTTTTCCCAGCGCATGTGAAGAGGCACGTGCATTTACTGGTGCGTACGGCTGCAGTACTCGCTCGAAGCGGCGCCTTTGTGGTATAGACGGTGTAGGTCCCAAAACAAGAGAAAGCACAATCTTTGCATCAGCAGTCGCATCCTCACACGTGCATACGTACCTCATTGTCGCGTATTTCAATCACGCTCTTGTCAGCCTCAACGCCCTTTGCATAGACAGTCACGCGCACGTCCGAAGGCGTCTCGTAGTGGTCAATGCGGCAGTCGACCTGTGTGTCATCAGCGGGCTTCGGCGCCGCGAAGAGATGGCCATGCTCAGCCGTCGAACATGGTTCGATTTGAAGAAAGTCATCAAAATGTAATACTCGCCTTTTACAGCACGTGTATCCCTTTGAGCCTTCGTGGAATATTGGTGTGCCCTTGTGGAATTTGCACGTTTCTTTGGTTCGATCACGCTCGTGGATGTCTTCGGGTACAACATATCCACATCCGGTGCGCCGACATGTTGTACCGGCTGAGACTTTCACGAGAGTATCCGGATCACACGGCTCAGGCGCCGGCGGCATCGGCGCGTTAGTAGGCTTGGGGGGTGCTACCATAGGGGTAACAGCCGCGGGCTTCGCGAGCTGAACAGCGTCGAGCGATTTCGTAATATGTTCTGTCTCTGATGATTTCACTTTCTCCGTGTTTGTTGCAGCTTTGGGTGCCGGCATAGGCTGTGCTTCATCCGTGTGTGCGTCTGCTGTGGCACACCCGGGCAGCTGCAAGAATTGCTCAAATTCCAGCACAGGCTTGTTCGTGTCATTGCAACATGACCATGACTTCAGTCCCTCGTGGAATACCGGTGCGCCAGGGTGGTATGTACAGGGTCCCTGCGACGGTTGTGTTGTGTCGAACAGTGCGCCGCAGCCTCGTCGTTTGCACACGACCATGTTGAGCAAAAAGCGGCTCAGAATTTGTGGACTATGCGAGCTGCCCCCTCCAAGTGTAGAAAAATTTGGGCATATTTTTCCGTCTGCTTCTTTTCTATTCCGTTGTCCCTGGGCAGTCACATGTCATCTCCACACATGCAGCAACACACAAATGTCAGTTGAGTTGTGGTGGCACTGACGTGCCCCTTTTGCACGACAATTTGGCCTTTTGGCACGGTGCGAATGCCACAAACAAATGACGGATCGCATTCTGAACTGAGCACGACAAAATTGAATTCCAAAAAAAGGCGCGCGCCATCTCTGCGCCGTTCGTACCTCGAGTCTCGTCGCATGTCTGGCGACTCAGACGACGTGCAAATGCTACTAGATGCACTTGTGCAAGCACCCATGGCGGCGCGGACAATACCAGATTCTGCAACAAGCCATGGTCCATATCTTGCACCGACAACTGAATTCGTACTCGCAGCACCTAGTACTGATATGGACACGCCGTTTGCGTACGCACAGGACGAATCACGGGTGCGCGCAATTCTCGCATTCCTCTCTGACCCTGAGAAGTCGCGCACGTGCGCAGCGACGCGTAAGGTCGAGACTCCCGACTATTGCACAGTGATGGACTCAGAAGCTGTAGGAAAAACCCGCGGTGCCTCTGCACCTGTGGACAGCACATCAGACGCTGTGTACGCAGAACTTCACGCTAAGCAAGAACGGGCGGAAAAGCGACTTCGTCGAATGGAAAAGGAGGCACTTGTGCGGGATCGCCGTCGGGCCATTGAGCGCGTCGAGCGTATTCAACAGGTGGACATCGTCAAGTTACTTCCTGTATTGGAAGCACGTCAAGACCCACGTGCACGTCGCTCACACGCCGAATTGTTGGAGCACTTATCGTGCACCCATGCAAGGATATTGGCGGAGGCACAAGCTATATTGGACCGGTACAACAAACTCTTGCCGAACGAAACACGGCATGATCATAAGACGGAAGGCGTGACACAGCGCGCCAGACGTACGAGATCTTCCACAGCTGTCTCGCGGTCTACTCATCCTCGAACATCGATACCTCCGCGGTCAGCTGCAGCCTCTTTAGAGCGACTAGCATCTTCAAGGCAGTCGCGTCAACAAATGGCCCCATCGCTAGCTGAACTAGCTCTTCACACAGATACCCATTCTTCTTCGCGACGACCTGTATCGATGCGCCGTAAGTCTATGCTTGCTTTTGGCGAGTATATGCCCGAGATTGCGATACGTTCTGAACCGTTTGAACACGCCATGGCCTCGTGGCTCCAATCCAACACAACATGAATTAACGCGTTACTCCTTTTTTCATTGGGCGATGAGACAACAAGAGATCCACATGTATATTTCCTCGATACCAACGTGCTACCGTAGGACTGACCACGTTCCATCTTTTTGTATTCTAGATAAATAGCAACCGGCCAAGGGAGTCTGCACGAGCGGAGCTGAAGCTGAACTTGTCTCGCGCAGACTTTAGATTGTTCTTCTCCACGCCACTCGCCTTTCCACAGTGGAGCGCATTATGAGTGACACTGGAGCAGGGTCAACATCGTCGTCACAGCCGCCATTGCCGCTGACGCTTCAGCTGGTGTCTTCGTTCAAGCCCGCAAAGGTGTTCAAAGAGTTTGTTCAGCCAGATTGCCAAGTCACGAGCGTCGATTATGATGATCGTGGTGAACTTTGTGTAACGGCGTCCGATGATGAGACGATCCAACTTTACAACTGTCGGTCTGGCAAGTGCGTTGAACGTATGTACTAATGAACAAATCCAGGCATGTAAAGACACTTTACAGCAAAAAGTATGGCGTGCACCTCGCACGTTTCACTCATCGGTCCTCAGCAATTGTGTATGCATCGACGAAGGAAGATGGTGCGTGTCTGATATGCGTGTATAACTATGCATGAGAAGCACAATGCTAACATACTGCGTATATTCCTATTTTTCGTCCCATTCAAGATACGGTCCGATATCACTCGCTACATGACAACAAATATCTGCAATACTTTCGTGGGCACAAGCGGCGTGTCGTGTCGCTGGAGATGTCGCCAGTCGACGACACATTCCTTTCGGCAGCTGTGGATGACTCGGTAAGACTATGGGATCTGCGCTCTCCCGCGGCACAGGGCAACCTTCGTGTGCAAGGGCATCCAGTTGTCGCCTATGATCCGTCTGGCCTCGTCTTTGGCATCGCATTGAACGAACGCTCGTCTATACTCCTCTATGACCTGCGCAAATTCGACCAGAATCCGTTTGCGACCATCACCATTGACGATACAGCAGCCTTATCGCAAATGATGATGCCCCCCCGTATTCCCGTCATTACGTATCTCAGCTTTAATCAGACAGGTCAGTATTTGCTGGCCGGCACGTCTGGTGATGTGCACTATATTGTCGATACCTTTTCTGGCAAACTCATTTACCGCCTTACTGGCCATGTTGGACTGGAACGTGCTGATGGCGCCTCAGTGGGCCTTGTTCCGAAGGCGGGCATCAGCGGTCAGGAGCTGTGTTGGACTCCTGATGGGCGGATGATCGTGGGTGGTTCGGCGGCTGGACAAGTTCATGTTTGGGCCTTGCCAGATCAGCCGCCAGCAACACCGCCTGTCACGCTTCATTCAACTACGACACTACAAGGTCAAGAAGGAACGCCTCGCGTCGTAGCGTTTAACCCACGCTGCGCGCACTTGTGCACGGCTGGAACCCAGGTCGCATTTTGGCTACCAGATTTGTCGTGAAAGTCGGTTGGTATGAGTGAAGCAGGAGCTTTGTCTCATTCTGTTAAGGGCTCATTCACCGAATGAAATAATACGCACAGCAATGTTATCAGTTCATATACCTCACAGCCCTGATATAGTCTTGCGTTGTTGCCACTCTAAACCCTACATCCTAGTTTCATATAACAAGGGGATTCTACCATGTGACAGAAGTACTTCCTCCACTGCTCATGCACCAACATGGGCGTGCGTGTTCGCTCGCTACTTGGACGGGTCTGCATGGAACATTGTGTAAGTGCAAGGCGTTCTCTTTCTCTCCACATATATCTCTGCATCTCGTGGGAAATAGTCCACAGCATGTTGCAACTACTTCAGCGTGGAATACGTGTCCCAATGAAGAGCTACGTGCCGTGTGCGACAAACACATTCCGTAAGGCGCGCGCATGGCCAAGATGGGCTGCATTTTATTCCTCGGCGCCGCCAGCGTCTCAAGTGTACTGCGGGAAAGATGACACGCCCCTGGTACGGACGGAATACCTGAGTGATAAGCGTATTTGGATCTTGCACATGCTCGCCCAAGAGACCCCAGATAATCGACTTACCCACACATTTATCGAGCACGGATTGCTTCCTGCGCTTCGTGACGTCCGGATGCACTGGGCGTCCTGGGTAAAAGAAAGCAACACGGCTGATGGTGCTGCTCTTGTGACGACGGCGCCGATGGACAACAAGATCTTTTCGAACGGACTAGACCTGATCAATGCTTTGCGAGATCCGCACTTTTTTAATGACCACCTCAATAAGCTCTTTCGCGAACTACTGACATTCCCTATCCCTACAGTGGCATCCGTAGGCGGGCACGCATTCGCCGCCGGTTTTACTCTTGCACTCGCGCATGACTATCGAGTGATGAATTCTGAACGCGGCTACTTGTGCATGAATGAAATTGAATTTGGCGCTCCGATCCCAAAGGGTATGTTGGGTGTTATTACGTCTGTCGCTCGGCAGCCATCATTGCAGCGCAAAATCGTCCTGGAGGGCCATCGTTTCACAGCGCCTGAGGCTCTTGAGCAAGGTCTGATTGATGCTACATCGAAAGGTCAGCAAGGCACGCTCGATGTGGCTGTGGCACTCGCAGATCGTCTTCGTTCACGCTGTGCCAAGAATGCATGGCAAGCGATCCGCGAGCTTCTGAAGGAAGAGGCGATTTTGAGCCAATACGAACCACCAAAGGCACATATTACTGTATCAGTATAGAGGTGTAATCTTCATTTTGTCAGTATGTAGTAATTATCGTCCAAGGGAATAGGTGAAATAGCCCCTACTTCTCCGCTGCCTCCTTGCTCCCATGATCGTGAGAAATTAGACGTCTAGGATAGTGGTGGGATTGCATCAGATGTGGAGGTCTCCACGCGGTCACCATGCGACCAGAGAGTGTCCGGTTTCGACTCGGCACTTGATATGTGGGGTAGCAGGCGATGCGTATGTTGGGCTGGGACTTCTCCCCGGCTCCACAAGAGCAAATAAGCGACATCAGTCATGTATCCCCACTCTCCGACTTTTCTCACCAAAGAGGTAAAAGTGTCTTGTTCTCGATGTCGACCGAGACCAGTGTGTACAAGGCTCGCGAGGGAGACATACCTTTGTTGCGGTCAGAGTTTCATGTCGAGAAGCGCATCTGGGTGCTCACTTTGATGGGCCAACAGACGCCTGATAACCGTTTGACGCACTCGTTTATCCAAGAGGGTATGATTCCTGCTTTGCGCGACATCCGAGCACAATGGAATGCTTGGGTCGAGCAGGATGAAGCAGAGATGGGAGCTGCTTTGGTCACGACAGCTGAATTGTCATCAAAAATATTCTCGAATGGACTGGACTTGTTTAATGCAATTGCTGATCCGCACTTCTTCAACGACTACCTGAATGCTATGTTTACTGAACTGCTGACATTTCCCATTCCGACCATCGCTGCTGTTACAGGCCATGCATTTGCAGGTGGATGTACGTTGGCACTCGCACACGACTATCGAGTGATGAACAGCAAGCGAGGTTATATTTGCATGAACGAAATCGAATTTGGAGCACACATTCCGCAGGGCATGCTGGGGGCAATCAAGTCAGTCGTAAAGACTTCGCAAACAATGCGAAAGCTTGTTCTGGAGGGTCATCGGTTCACAGGCGAGGAAGCATTAAAAGACGGGCTCGTTGATGCGACCGCCGACTCTGCAGAGGCGACGCTCCGAGTTGCCATGGACATGGCGGACAAACTTCGTTCCCGGTGTGCAAAGAATGGTTGGCAGGTAAACAAGGAGCTGATCCATCGGGAATCACTCGCAATGCAATTTGAGCCGCCGCGTGTATCAGCCAAGATCTGACATTGTCGTACATACATGTGTAGAAGAAAAAAATGCATAAGTCAGTATGAGTGTATGAATACATCCGTGATTACTCGCGAGGCTAGCAGGGAAGGAGAAAAAAGAAGATAAACTACTGCACATGGGGACTGCTACCCGTACATGTGCCGCATCGCGTTCGTTACGCGGATACCGAGGGCGTTGCGGCGCCTTCAGGGGAAGCACTAGCCGTGATGCTCGTTGATGGAGCGATTGGGTCTGGAGCTGGGGAATCAGTGATCGAGTCAGTGTCTTGATCAGGAGTGGATGAAGACAAGCCTTTTTGCTTTTCACTAAGCCATACAGGAGTACGCCAAGTACGCCCACCAATACTTAGAATTTCGCGCGTCCCGGGGTGCCATGCGCGAGGCTTTTTTGTCCCAGATGACCGCTCTAACGGCACGATTGCGGGAATGAAATTGGGAATCCGTGCCAGCGGCAAGATGTCGGGTAGGTCTTTCGACGTAGGAATCGCAGGATACCGAAACACAGCATCCGGTGAATTTTGTGCGACTTTGATTGAGCTACTAGCAAGGGAGCTTGATGTGGCGGGCGAGGTCGTGTTGGAAGCATTCGTTGTTCCTTGTCTCGACCGCTTGGACGGAACAGCTGTGGCAGATGATGACGACGACGATGCATTGGTGGTGGATGTAGCTCCAGAGCGTCCACCTCCAGCGCCTGACGCCGATGCGCTTTTCGTAAATGTAGCCGGCGTCGATGGATGCACTGCAAGGTTTTGTGGAAGATCCGCGGTCGACATGCCACTGTCAGGTAGGCGATACACGGGTTTCTGACCCTTGGACAAACCCTTGCGCCAGCCACGACCTGGTCCAGGAGCCCCACGAGTCTTGAGCCCCTTTCGCCGTTTTGCAGACGGCAAAGCATCGAGTTCTTCTAGCGTTAATGTCGCAGCGACAGCCGATATAGAACCGGGCGGCGGTGCAGTGCGTCGCTGCTTTGTTGCTTTTTTGACCTTAGTTGTATGTGGTGACTCGGTTGTCGTATCGGCGGTTGTGTCCAGAGCCATGGATTCGTCTGCAAGTTCGTCTTCCGATGAGTATGTCATTTCACTCCGAACAGACATGTCTGCATCGTGCCCAGGCTCAGAAGAACGAGGAGACGCCGTTGCTTCCTTCGTTGATGCTGAAGCTGAATCAGTCGATGCTTGCCTCGATGCGCCACCAGCACCGCTGGCGCTGCTGGTCGATGGTGGCACACGTAGCCGCACCTTGAATGTCGTCATGTAGGTAAGACAACCAAGTGCTGAACGAAGAGTTCTGCTGAATGGAGGTGGGAGAGTCGATGACGAATACTCTGTCACTCTTTCGATCACTCACTGAAATTTAAAGGGGGCATGTACATAAAGGCCACAAGCTCGCATATGGGACAGCATCATCTATGTGGAGGCATGTCGTGCCGCCGTCTTCGCCTGTTGGACAACTCGGCGTCGGCTCTTCCGAAGAAGTGAAAGTGCTCGACGAGCACTTTTTGCTTCGTGCCGCTGTTGCAATGCTGAGGCCAGCTCTGCATACAATGAACAACGCGCACTCCGCGTGCGTGCGTAAGTGGAATGGGTATGAGTATATGGAAGAGCCAGCGCCGCCATGTGCCAGAGGGCATGTGAATCCAATGAAGTATCCCACTTAGTGGCCGTACGCACGAGGATTTGGAGCGTAGCAAGATTCGGTGACATTGAATATGTATCGAAAAGATTTGCCATACGTTTGAGCAAGAAAGATGCCCTTGCCCTCGCCTGGTGGTGTGCAGGCGGCAATATCGACGTCTCTGTCGTCCTCTGCCGCACTATGGCCGAGTCACTGCTAGGCTTGAGTGTCGTTGGTGTTAATGATCGTTTCGCTGTAAGCCACACACACTCGTACATCCGGCTTAAGATCCATGCACGGTCCTGTGCGCCCATGTCTTCACACACCTCGTCGACCACTCCTTGCAAGAGTGTGTTGAGAATTTCGGTGCCGTGCAAACGACATGCAAGTGACGCATGTCGCTCAAGAAAGCGGATAGCAAGGCTTGTTCGTCCAGAACGCACAAATGCACGTACCAGAAGCAGCGCCGCATGAGCCAGTGATGGTTGCGACACGTCATCTAGCTGTCGGAGCGCCTTCCAATCGACCCACGCTTTTTGCGCACGCGCACCATGAGCATGCGCACCTAGGTGAGCGAGATACATTTCCTCCGACGTATTTTGCAGATGTGCGTGCGTCAGCATATCATCCCGTAGTCGCTTGCGCCAGCTATAATCAAGCACTCTTGGTGACCCGGCAGATTCAGATCGACACGGGTCGTTCACAACAGCAGGATCACACTCCTCGTTCTTGTATGCGAGCAAGTCATGGTACATGGAATAAGTCCGCCATGCTGTTGGGAACTTGAACATAAGAGTCGCTGCTTGTGCAGGGACATGATGCACCAAAGTCATGCGATGGATGATGGCAGACAAGGACACGAGGAATGCGCTGTCTTGGTCGTTCGCATCATGGACCATAGAGGCACTGCAAGTCACCCATTGAAGCATGTCGCTGTGCATATATCTGTGGAGGAGCTGCTCCAGCATATGTACGAAAATTTGGGTATTCAATTGCCCGTTGCGCTGGGCTACATACTCCCAGCTGTTACAAGCTTCTCGCAACGCTGCATGCGAAGATTGGGCTGGATCTTTGCACAAAGTAGGCATCGATGATGCCGGCGATGGCAAGCATGCATGTCGGTGTGGATCAAGCTGTCGAAGCAGCATACGCAACATATGTTTAGGCTGCGATGGACGAAGGCGCGCATCTCTCAGTATTACAGCTGCATCTCGTAATCGCCCCGCTTCAAGCAGCGCACAAAAGATGCGAAAAAGAACGGCTCTTCTTCTCTGCAACAAAGCGTATGGTACGGCATCGGGCTGGTTGGTTGTGACAGGACATAAAGGAAAAAGCTGCGCGGGTGAAAGCTTGTCATGCAATGCAGCATCGAGCATCATGCACTCTAGCTCATCCTTTCTGTGGGTATGCTCAAGATCCGACGGGTATGGAAAGGAGGCTGTGAGAATCTGCTGCATGTCACTGACGCCGTTGCGTGCCAAAGCGAGTCCGCGTTGGAGGAATACGTTCCGCACCGACGCGGGTAGCTTGCGTGTCCACAACTCGGCATTTCTTGTACTCTTACACGTTCCCGAAGCATCTAAGGGGTCGGTGGCACTTAATTTTTTTTCTCCCACGTCGAGAGGCATCCACACTTGCGATATCATTGGCAAAGGTGAGCGTGAGGGCGTCTGGGGTGGCGGCGTCCGCGGCGATGTCGCAATACTACCGCCCCCATAATGGTGTGTGGCACGACATCTTATTGTCAAGTATGGCCGCGCAACACTACGCGTCAGTGCGCGCATGGGGCGGATCGCCGCCACCGTGTTGGCGAGAGTTCGCGTGAATGCAAGAAAAATGAGACGCGTAGTCGATCAGCTTGGCTTGATGCCCCCGAACGTGTCGCCGCCCTCTCTTCTCGCCGCCACGCAGTGCACGGATCGCAGCGGGGGGTCTTGCATGAAGGATGCCACGCGCTCAATGGAGGCGTACACTTTCAATAAAATCACGTGATATTATAGCTAGCCAAGGTCAGGTATGAGGTGCGAGGGGGGTATCCCCCTGAGGCGAGTGTGCATGTGGAAAAAGATAGGCAGTCAAACAGGAAAAAAAAGATGGGCGATGAGGAATTGGCTTGTGAGGAAAAGTCGGGTGCTTGCTAAAAGTCTTGGTTACTTACCAACCAATCCCCTATAAAACCTTTCAACCCGTACGACGTGGTGATAGGAAGGGCCTTGGCTTACACATCGATCAGAAGCTTACAAGTTCAGCAAAACCACATCAACAACAATGGGAGCTAACCGTGCATCGAAGGAGAACTGGTTCAGCCGCCTGAACGAGCTCATTGACACCAACACGTCGATCTTCGTGGTGAACGTGGACAACGTCAGTTCGCAACAGATGCACCAGATCCGTCAAGCCCTGCGTGGACAGGCTACAGTGCTCATGGGTAAGAACACCATGGTGCGCCGTGCTTTGCGCCAGGTGATCTCGGAGCGCCCAGAATTTGAGCGCTTGATGCCACACGTGCGCGGAAACGTTGGTTTCGTGTTCACGTCGGCTGACCTGAAGGAGGTCCGTGACAAGGTGATTGAGAACCGTGTGGCTGCCCCTGCTCGTGCTGGTGCCTACTCCCCTGTGGACATCTTCGTGCCGGCTGGTAACACTGGTATGGAACCCGGTAAGACGTCGTTCTTCCAGGCTCTTGGTGTGCCGACGAAGATTGCCCGTGGTACCATTGAAATTGTGTCGGATGTCAAGGTCGTTGAGGCCGGCAACCGTGTCAGTCCATCTGAGTCGGCCCTGCTCAACCTGCTGAACATCTCTCCATTCACGTACGGTATGACTGTGGTCCAGATCTTCGACAACGGCAATGTTTTCTCGAGCAGCGTGCTCGACGTGACCGAGGAGGAGCTTGTTGGTCGCTTCACGCAGGCTGTCCAACAAATTGCCTCGATCTCGCTTGCCCTCAACTACCCGACGATCGCCTCGGTCATGCACTCGTTTGTCAACTCGTACAAGAACGTGCTGGCCATCTCGCTCGCTACTGACTACGAGTACGAGGGTTCAGCTAAGCTGAAGGAAATGCTTGCAAACCCTGAGGCGTTCGCTGCCGCTGCTGCCGCTGCTGCGCCTGCTGCCGATGCTGGCGAGGCTGCCCCGGCTGCCGAAGAGAAGAAAGAGGAGCCTGAGGAAGAGTCGGATGGTGACATGGGCTTTGGTCTCTTCGACTAAATGCTGTAGTGTCTGCTCAGCCCCTATAACATACTCTTTGTATGTACATAGTACTATTCATGTACATACGAATGACACCGTATGGCAACGGGTTTTGTGTGAGAGTGTATACCGCTTCTCATGCGGTAGAAAGATATACAACAACTATGGCTCCGAAAACATTCATTAGGGAAAGTGAGGTGGAGGGGCATGCCAAGCAGCGATTTGTGTCAGCCTTTTTCCTACATCGACCCTTTTTCAAGACAAATTTTTGCCGTTGCAATGCAAGAATACACTGGTTGATTAAGTGCCGCTCGTGTAGCTTGTCCCTTGATAGGAATAGTGTGAGTCATTCGAATCTGTGTGTGCATGCGAAAGAATTCCGCCTTGGATCTTGCTCTGGCGTCCTCATATTCACAACGATATGCATTGCCACGATTCAGATCAAAGAATCACAGCGCCAACGACAAAAATCGTCGCTGTAGCGAATACTATTGATGGAACAAAATTAGAGAATACCATTGGACGCGTTGTGATAGAGCTGTTGTCCAAGTACGAATTTGTGTACGTCTGTCCATTAGAAGATGTGGCTTGGGTATTGAAGTGAACGGAGGTAGCTGGTGGCACAGCTGTGCTACTACCACGGTTTTGGGGATCATATGCAGCTCTTCCACCTTGCGAGGCAAAAGATGCAATGTATGACGACGACTCTTCCGCATTTGTCAAGTAAGGAACGCTATGCGAAGGTCCCTTTGATACAGGCGAACTATAGCTTTCTGTTTTGAATGTGTTGGACCCCTTAGTGCAGCCGCCATACTGTACGCATGCTGATTGTCCATTAAATAGGGTGGTTGGTTGTGTAACGGGTGCCATAGAGTCTGTCTTCGCCATTACACATGTACATAGAAATGCAAGTCCGAGCAAAGCCACAAGATGAATCTTAATATGTAACATCGCGCCAAGTCAATAATGCTGAGGCTCTGCCACTGATACAGGCCAAGACAAGGATTCGTCTGTGCGTACACTCACACACCGTAGGGGATTGTTGTTCTTTCTTACCAATCCCTTTCGGTTGTCGTCAACGCCGACCATATCATGTTTCAATCATCTGGGGATAAGCACGTGGCTCAATTTTTTGGGCATATGACTCAGCATGAACAAGCAGGGTCTGGGCTTGTGACATGCGGGAATTAAGCTAATCCTACTTAGCGGTATAAGCAGGTGTGGTTATTTTCCATGTGCTGCGCATCTCATTTGCCACGGTCGGTATTTGTCGGAAGCGGGCCATGCGTGTTAGTCGAACAGTGACGCACGGACAGTGAATCAATGAAGTAAAGCGCACAGACGGGCACATCTTCGCTTGGTGCCTTTCAACCGGAGAACAAACTTGATTGCCATGGTTTTGTCTCTGAGCGTTGATCCCGAGGAATATGTGCAACGTGCACACGTGAAGGAGAGCCATGAGGCCGTGGAGAAGGCGCGCAGTCATCGCCATCGTAGCGTTGATATTCCGCATTACACGCCCACTGGTCGCTACGGCACCAAACCTGTTCCCAAGTATCATCTTCCTGAAAAGGGACTCTCGGAACGAGCTACTTACGAGTTGCTCTCAAATGAGCTCCTGCTGGACGGTAAACCCAGCTTGAACCTGGCATCCTTCGTTCACACGTGGATGCCAGATGAAGCGAGGAGGCTTATGATGGACACCATTGGCGTTAATCTGTGTGACCAAGATGAGTATCCTGCGACAATAGCTATCCACACGCGCTGTATCTCTATTATATCGAACCTGTGGAAGGCACCAAAGGGTCATGTGAAAGATGGAAGGCGTCTCGCCGCCATGGGCACGGCAACGACCGGTTCGTCGGAAGCCCTGATGCTTGGTCTTTTATCGGCCAAGCGCCGCTGGCAAAACAAGCGCAAGGAGCAGGGCAAAGACATCCATCACCCTGGTCCGAACCTGGTGTTTGGTGCGAATGTGCAGGTGTGCGTGGAGAAGTTTGCTCGCTATTGGGACGTGGAAGAGCGTCCTGTGCCTGTGGATGAGTCGACGCACTACTGCCTCGATCCGAAGCGTGCTATGGATTACGTTGATGAGAACACTATTGCTGTGGTTGTCATTCTTGGATCAACCTACACAGGTCACTATGAACCTGTTGAGGAAATGGCACTCGAGCTCGACGAGTACCAGAAAAAGACGGGTCACGACGTTCCAATACACGTTGACGGCGCGTCGGGTGCCATGGTGGCGCCGTTTGCGACGCCTGACCACAAGTGGTCCTTCGATGTGCCACGTGTAGCATCCATTAACACCTCTGGTCACAAGTTTGGTATGGTGTACCCGGGTATCGGCTGGATTATCTTCCGCTCTCCTGAGATGGTGCCGAGTGACCTTGTGTTTGAGTTGCACTACTTGGGATCTGTCGAGTATTCGTTCGGTCTCAACTTCTCGCGTCCTGCAGCGCCCATGATTGGACAGATGTTCAACTTCATCTCTTTGGGACGTGAAGGCTTCAGGAGCACGATGGAGGCGAACCTGATGAACGCCCGTCTGCTTTCTCGTGCTCTTGAGTACAGCGGTCTGTTTGTCGTCCTGTCGGACATTCACCGCCCTGCCGAGAAGAAGGTGCCGATCACGACGGAAGCGTCGAAGTATTGCCCTGGTTTGCCGGTGGTCTCATTCCGCTGGACCGATGAAATCAAGCGTGAGTACCCCCATATGGAGCAAAGTTGGGTACAGACGCTCTTGCGTGCAAAGGGATGGATTGTGCCAAACTACGAATTGCCACCGAACCTCTCGGACGTGCAGATTTTGCGTGTGGTCGTTCGTGATAGCCTGACCGAGAGTATGGTTGAAGTACTTGTGCAAGATATCATCAATATCACCCGCCACTTGATGGAGCAGCAGCGTGTTGCTCGAGAAGCAAGTATGGATCCTGTGTCGACGAGAGGCATGACGAACATGCTGCTGGGCCACAGCTACAAGAAGAACAACGATCATGGCCGCCCCTATGGTCAAGGCCAGCCTCCCAACGGTTTCAAGAGTCAGTGCTGAGTCCCATTTTGCATCTGTATCTTATAATTCGCCGTCCCAGTCCATGTGCTGAGGATACTGCGTCAGTACTTCTTGCTTATTTTTTTTTTTCATCTTAGCGTTGAAGCGCTCTTTTTCTTCGCTAGACTTGGATCTAGGATCTGCACACGAGAAAAAAGCGAACGCTAGCGTGCGTGCGTCGTACATACCATAGGAACGTGATCGCTGGGTCCGTAGATTTCGTGACGGATCTCACATGCCTTAACGCGACTAAGCGCACGTTTTCGAATCTGTGTAGGAGGGTGATGTGTAAGTGTCTAGTATGCACGAGAGAAACGTACAATGAAAGAGTCTATTCGCCAGCCTGCGCCGCGGCTTCGGCACTGGCCACGCCAGCCATAGTATGTGTAGTGGCCGACAGCGTCGGGATGGCATTCACGCCATGCATCACACATGTCATTCGTCGCCAAAATCCGTCGATGCGCGTCGCATTCGGCCTGTGTATACCCAGCAGCTTTATTCCACTTCTTTGATGCGCCTGCCAAGTCGCGATCATCCCAAACGACATTCAGATCTCCGCACCATATGACCTCTTTGTCGGACGGAAGCGACTGTAGATGCTTTTCCAGCGCCTCGTTCCAGGCGTTTTTGTTTCCTAATGTCTTGAGTCCATCACCAGCATTTACAGCATACGTCGCGACCAGCACTGTGTGAGGGAATTCCACTGTCAGAAGACGTGCATTCGAACTGGGATCATGAAATCCTGGAAGGCCCTTCTCGACGTGGATGGGTTTTTGCTTCGATAGCACGGCAATGCCCGCATATCCTTTTTTCTCACCAATGCCCCAGTATCTGTACTTGTACATGGCGTCTAAGCCTGCATGAGAGGGCGTCTCATTCACCTTGGTCTCACTGAACACGAGCACGTCGGCATCTTCAGCATGCACGTATCGCATGAGCCCCTTTGCATCAGAGCTCTTGAGAGACGTGATATTCCATATGGCAATGCGCGTGCACCCTGCCGGTTTGGCTTCGATCGAAAGCGGACCTTTGGGCAGCTGCGTATTACGAGGAATCTTATCGGGAGCCACATGGTCTCTGCCACTCGGCGCTGCTGGGGAAGCTGCCGTCGGGCCAAGCTGCTTCACGTCTTCCTGCAAGCGAGGGCGTTTAGGCGCATCTGTTGTGGCTGTCGTTGCTGCACGCTTCGGCATATTCCACGACCACGACCACGACCACCACTTACCACGATAAGGGGCGTACACAACGGCTCGGAGGCCGGAATGCATGGAGATGCCCAGGGCATTTGGCCACGCGTCTTCACTGACACGCGTGGCGTCCACGCAGAGAGGTCAATGCACATGAAATGGCGCTGCATATACAACACGCGTGTCTGACTCAGCATGACGAGGACATGAAGGGCAAGTCTATCCAATGCCTGCTCGCGGTCCAAAAAGGTTGGCTAAAAGTACCGCGCGACATGATGATGCATGGGGTCGTTCGTGTTCTATCGTTGTCCACAGCGCGTTCAGCGCGCTCGATTTGATACCGGCGGTGGCTATACAGAAAGCCTAGGAGATTTGGGAGACATCATTGCGGGCATGCCAGGATCCTGTCATGCGGCAAGGTGTGAGTCGCAAGGACAGGCTAAGAAGGATTTCCTGTCTGATGCTTTGTTCCTTGGCGACGAGATGGTCGATGAGGGTCAGCTGCCAACTAGCCACAGGTCAGCGACGGCAACAAACATGGACGTTGATCACGATTTCACAGATCCTACCAGCTCACCTTTCTTGTCGTCATCGCCGAACCCTGCGCTTGTACATATTCCTGCAGCGCCTTACCAGGCCGTTAAGTTTGATGGATCCAGTGTCTTGATACCCCGGCGTCGTCGGGTGCTTGCATGGCGAGCGGCGCCTTCCAGCGCAGCTTCGTCTCGAGCTCCCGCATTATCTGAGCCGTTAGACGTGTTAATGTCGCGAATGCCGCGCAGCGAACGAAGAAGGGCGAGAACGAGAGGCCTCGGTGACGCCGGCGCCGCCGTGCCGCCGTACGTATCCGCAGGATTCGCGCATGTGGGTCGAAAAGTATCGGCCGCGGGCATTTACAGACTTGATGGGCGATGATCGTCTGCATCGTGAAACTCTGCGCTGGCTTAAAACATGGGATCCATGCGTGTTTGGACGCGATGCGCCGCCACCCTCTGCACGCTCGGCGCGAGGAAACGAGCCCAGCACAACCACAGACCAGCACGGACGACCCCATGAGCGCGTGCTGCTCATGTCTGGACCCCCGGGTCTGGGAAAGACGACACTTGCGCACGTGGTGGCTCAGCATGCCGGCTACCGAGTGTACGAAATGAATGCGAGCGATGCGCGCACCGCGGGTGATGTGCACAACCGTGTGCGAAGTGCACTGGAGTCTGACAGCCTGCAAGGGCATGGGCGTCCGACGCTGGTCGTGATTGATGAAATTGATGGCGCTATGGGTGGGAATGAAGCACTAGGCACGACGGGCTTCGTACGAGCGCTCGTCCAGCTGATTGAACGTGGCGCACGCTCGTCACACAAAACACGTCCGCTCCTTCGCCCGATTGTTTGTATATGCAATGATTTGTACGCGCCAGCGCTGCGTCCGCTGCGTCCTCTGGCGCGGATCGTGCGGTTCCACCGTCCACCGACGCCCATGATTACGCGGCGCCTGCGTGAGATCTGTGCGCGTGAATGTCTAGCGGCTGATGCGCGTGGTCTTACGATGCTGTGCGATGTGTCGCATGGCGATATTCGTGCATGTCTCCATACACTGGAGCTCTTGCACCGACAGGGTGGCTCGGTGCATGTGGATGCGATCCAACGCGCGTCGCTAGGCATGAAGGACAGTGTCGTCCCGCTCCAGCACATATGGACGCAGCTATTCCGTGCCCTGGACCAGCCACATTCCTCGCTGCATGGCTCGCGAGTTCATGCTCTTGTGCAGGAGCTGATCTCATACGCAGACTATGATCGACTTGCGCGCGGATGCTTCGAGCACTATGTGCATCTCCGTGTCCCGGGCCAGGGCTGGCAGCGGTATGAGAGTGCTCTTGACTGGCTGCACTTTTCGCAATCGCTCATGCACGGCGCATGGGGTGGCACAGGCCAGGGCTCTGCATTTGAGTTGCTGGGCTTTGTGCCTTGGGCCTTTGTCGCGTGGCACATGCTTTTCGCGAATGTGGCCAATCCCATTCCTGAGTATCCGCCGCGCGAGGACTATGAACGGCATCTTCAGCTTACAGCGACGCTGGAACTTGTCGATACGTTGCGTGGATGTTTGCCGGCGTCTCTTGCGCCGTTCTATTCACGGCGCACTGTGGCTTGTGAGCTGGCCCCGGCGCTCGTGCGGATCCTGAGTCCTGACTTGAAGGTGTCGACGCCTGTCCCAACCCGAGAGACGAAGGCTGCGCTGGACGCGCTGGTTGACACAATGCTGATGCTGCAGCTGTCTTTTGAGCCGGACCGTGACGAGCACGGCGTTGTGATGTACCGGATCCAGCCGCCCATCGATGTGTTTGGCCAGTACGCAGGGCAAGCGTCAGGCCTCGTCGGGCCCAGTCGGCATGGAGCAAAGCAGTACGTGCAACGTGCTATTGATGCCGAACAACGACGCCGGCGGACTGCTGCGGCATTGGCATCCTCCGGCGCCACGCTTCAGGACACAGCGGCTGCTGCTACCGCTGCATCGTGCGAGATGCTCCCGCCGTTTCCCACGCCAAGTGCAACGGCGACGTATAGGGACTTTTTTGGTCGCGTTATATCAACACCCAAAGTACCACAGACTCCTGCGTCAACAGCCCGTGCATCTCCTAGCGCATCGTCTCATGGGCCGCGTGTGTTTTACCGGTACCATGAAGGCTACTCAAATGCTGTGCGTAAACCTATCAAGCTTGCAGCTTTATTATAGGGCGAAATGAATGAGCGAATCGATGCAGCCAGCCTACGGAGCATGCTGTCGACAGGCTAGCTGACGTGCGAGAGATAGTTGGACATCAACTTGCTAGGAAGACGAATCAGAATGCACGCGACCTACAGAAGGAAGTCTTTCGAGGCGTTGTACGAAAGACACAACCTCGCTCTGTCTCTCAGTCATTCTCTTATTCTCTCTTATTCTCTCTCTCTCTCTCTTACGTCCTATGTGTGTTGTCCCCGCGCTTACGCCGTGACATCCATGCCGGCTTGCGCCAGCGCCACAGCCATGTCATGCTCAAGGTACGACGACACAGCGATCGTATCGCCGAGACCCTTGCGTCGGCGCATCTTCAGCACAAAGTCGCGTGCAAGGCCCAATGGTGGCGCTGGCTCCAGCGGTCGTAGCGGGATGGACGTATCGTTCGGATCACCCGGCACAACAGCCCAGTGGTGGAACATTTGAAGGCAGAATGCCTGGCCCTGCGTCATCACACGTAGGTCCGTCTCGAAACCGTTCGAATCCATCACAGGTAGGAGCGCCTTGATCGTGCTCAACGGCGTGCCGGCTTTCGGCGCATCGTGCGTAACGTGTCCACGCCGTCGCGCCAGCAGCGTGTAGATTGTACTGACACATTCGGCTGGTGCCTGGATCTCTGCATAGTAGATCGGCTCCATCAGCCTTGGCGTCGCGAGCAGGAATGCTGCGTACGTCGCGCGCCGCGCCGTTGGAATCACCTGTCCACCACCGCGGTGGATGGGCTCTTGAGCAATGGAGGCCTTCGTTATGCGAATCTTCACACCGCGCATCGGCTCGTCACACAGCGGTCCTTCGCGCGTGGCCCATTGGAAGCCCTGCTTTATGTGCTCACGCACCGTGTACAAGAGCGGCTTGTCGACATCCTCAGGCAGCGTATCGTCAATCAGCACATTTGGCCCGTGCTCATCAGGGCCAAATGCCCAAACGGACCGTGCAGCGAGCGTGTCCCAGCCGTACCTGTCCTGGAATACACGCGCCAAGGCACGTGGCGGTTGGTGCAGGTCGATCAAACCCCGCTCCAAGTCTTCGGCGATCCCTTCTTCCAACGGCTCGGCAATCAATGTCAGCCGGTTCTGCTTGTTCGGTGTGTCTGCATAGCACTGCACCGCACTGGTCTCGATGACCGTCTCACAGAATTTGACAACTGGATCACTGATCTTGATCTCCATGTCCGCGTACAGCTGTCGCAAGTCGTGCATCACACAGTCCAAGTAGAGCTCACCTGTGCCTAGCAGCGTGTGTTCGCCACTTTCTTCCACACGCGTCGACACGAGTGGATAACACTTGTTGACCTTGCGCAGTCCCTCCAGCATCTTTGGCAGCTCTGCTGGGTGCAGTGGCTCTATGGCCACCTTCAGCACACTCTCTGTCATATGCGTAACAGGTCGCAGCACATGCGTATCGGCTGCAGGCCATGCTGCATCACATACCGTCGCGCATTTGGCGATGGTGGCGTCAATGCCACCCAGCAGCACCCAGTTCCCCGCTGGCACCTTGTCAGCCCTGACGACGTATCGGGCCTCGGCCACCCACACATCGCTCACTGTCGCCACAGCCATATCCTCTTCATTATCCGGTGTGTACGTGGGCCCCAGGACCTTGACTGACTGCCCATGCGACACTGTGCCATTTAGGACACGCCCAAATGCACGAAACTCGGTCGCATCTGTCGTTGGGTACACTTTTGTGATCTGAATCAACAGCGGTCCAGCTGCATCGCATCGTGCCATCGCCTCTGTCCATTTAGACTCGGTAGGCGCCGTACTGGTCGCAGCCACTTTGGCTACGGCACCCTCAGCCGCATGGGGTAGGTGCTCCACGAGCATATCGGTGAGTCCTGTCGCCTTCCCTAGGAAGCCATTCAAGACCAGCTTCAGCAGCGGACGAACATCCATCTTGAATGCGGCGGCTGGCAGTTGCAGGCACAAGGACGACAGTGTCTTGCGCAGCAACTCTGTGTCTGCACTAATGACAAGCGTGTACAACTTGTACAGTGGCTCGAGAACAAACTGCACAAAGCTGCGTGGCGCCTCTGCGTACGGTGGCGTGCGCGTAAAGATGCGTGACGACTTGTCATAGTACATTTGGCCCCATAGACGCTGTGCAAACGCCTCCGTATCCACCGGCACGCGTTCTGCATACAAGTGTGCAAAGCTGCGTAGCGTAAAGCAGTAGCCCGCCTGCGTCGATGCAAACGCCACATTTCCTAGCTCAGGGCTCAGTCGCAGACCCGGATCGCCGCCGGATGCATCACCCACAATGCTGTTGATTTCCTCCAACGTGTGCTGAAGCTTGAAGTAGGCATCGGCCGGCGGCAAGCGCAGCTCAAGCACGAAACGATCGAGCTTGTTGATGACCAGCACCATGGGCATACGCTCACGTACGCAGAAGCGGATGATCGCCTCCGTATTGCACATAACCCCCTCGACGGCATCGACGACCAGCACGACACCATCAGCGAGCCGAAGCGAGGCCGTTACTTCGTCCTGAAAATTTGTGTGGCCTGGTGTGTCCATCATGTGGACGAGGAAGCTCTTGCCTCGCGTATTCGAGAGCACGAACGACATGGGCGTCGCTCGGATCGACAGTCCCCGGTCCTGCTCCAGCACATGTGTATCTGTGTAGCGGAGTGGTTTTTCCGCATCAACATCCACGCGGTGAGTCTCTTCCACCAGCATATCCACAAGACTCGTCTTGCCGTGAGATAAGTGGCCCACAACAGCCACATTGCGCACCATATCGGGAAACTGCATCATGTCCAAAAGAAATCGCCGCTCATAGCGCACTTCCGGCAACCCCTGCTCTTCAATGACGAAGCGCCGCACGCGCTCCGGCTCTACGATCGGCTGCGTTAGTGGCTGTGCATCTTCCTCCTGCACCAGAGTCTCGACATCATCGCCATACACCTCCGCAGCGCTTGGATAGTACACCTTGTCTTCATGAAGAACAATGGCATTAGACGCAGGCTCATCGACCTGCATCACTAGTGCGCCATTTTCATTATGCACCTCAGCGTCATCATTCACTGCATCATTCGCATCATTTGCCGAGCCACCATCTGCATCTGCATCTGCATGTGCACCTACAGGCCGTTCGCTTAGTAGCTCCTCTGACTGCTGCTGTTCATCTTCCGACTCCGAGTCGGACAATGGCCCGATATAATTGCCACTACGCATTAGCGCATGTGATCCATGATTCAAGAAAGCATGCGCGCGAGCGGGCGGGTGCCATGACTCACTCTGACACCCGTCCAATCGCGCACAAACCCTAGTACTTACAACTCGTCGTAATCGTCCATCCGCCGCAGCCCACACTTCAACAACGCTATCAACTACGGCCCGCTCTCCCTTGATGATCAACCGTGGCGCTTCGGCGCACTCTCTCTTTTGTGAGGCCGCGACCGCTGCTGCTCGAGAATGGCGCTAGGGGGGGGGGGCACAAAGGCCAAACGGGTCACGTGATACTCCATTGAGGGCAATCGAGTGGAGAAGTGGCGCTCTCTCCTGGGTGGAGGTGGTCTGGGCAAAGCGCTGAGGCAGAACCTACAACGTTGGCGTTTCGAGTCGGACAAATCTCCAGCAGCGCACCTGTCTACTTCGTCCGAGGGGAACTAACTGCCAGCCGTGCGCGGGGTTAATCAGTCTGGGCAGACAAACGTGCTGAATATGCGTCGCGGGGTGGAGCAAGCGCCACGAAATATTCGTGTTCAAAAGGACCTATGAGGGGGAGGGCTAAGACCGTAGAGATAGTGGCGCGCCGTGCATTCAATAGTGTAAAAGTATTTCCATAATAAAATTGGCTGGTGGCTCGGTGGCTCAGCGTTGCGCGTATACTCAATTTTATTGCAAGCGGTGTGACTAGCTCATTAGACTATATTATAGCAGGAAGCAAGCTGCGTAGTCGTGGATGGCAGCAGCGGATGTGACGTGGGCGTATGCCATACGCGAGCATCTCATGCGCTGGGTGCACTTTGGAACTCTGTCACTAAGCTTGCTTGGCTCACAGGTCGTATGGAGTTTGGAATTGGCATATGGCACGCCATATTTGCTGTCTCTAGGCTTATCGAAGGAGGCTACTGGCTATGTCTGGATTGCAGGGCCATTAAGTGGGCTGATCATGCAGCCTGTGCTTGGCTCGCTCTCCGACTCGTCCATGTCACAGTTCCGCCGGCGCAAGTACATGCTAGGATCTTGCGGGGTGGTCGCACTAGCGACCTGCTTGATCGCATTCTCTGAACCTATATCACTCTATCTCTTGGACATCGTAGGCATTGGGCTTGGTGATTGGGATCCCTCCCGGCACAAACACGCTAAGCGTATGACTCAGGTTCTAAGCGTCCTGGGTTTCTGGATCCTGGACTTTGCTATTAATGGCTTACAGGTCATCTCACGCGCCCTCATCTTGGATCATGCGGATGCATCTCAGCAAAATGAAGCGAATGCCTGGCATGGCCGCATGTTGCATGCGGGCAGCATCATCGGGTATTGGTGCGGATGGGTTGACTTATCGACGTGGCCGTCGCTCGCATGGATCGGTGGTGGCCAGTTCCGTCGCTTTGCAGTTGTGAGTGCTGTATGCATGGTCATATGTGTAAGCATCACATGTCTGTTCACGCCTGAATACGGCACAAAGCATACGACAACATCACCGGAAGGGCTCATTACACGCATTGGTGCGTCGGTGCGTCAAGTCGTGCGCGTCGGTCGTGCACTGCCAGTCCCGATCCAGCGGGTTTGTCTAGTTGAACTGCTTGCAACAATGAGCTGGTTCCCTTTCTTGTTCTACAGCACAACGTACGTGCTTGATATGGCCCACCGGAAGCACAAACGTCATTCCGATGCTGATCATGAGCTTGGCAGCTTTGCGATGCTGTGTTTTGCTCTTCTCGCTATGGTCTCAGGGCTTGTACTTCCGTCTCTGTCGCTTGCCGGTAAAATGCGTCCCCCGTTGCTCGAGACTCTCCCCCCCACATCGTCGTCACGGCGTCGTGTCCGTGGCATGAGCTTGCGCACTCTCTGGACGTTTGGCTCTTTACTCCAAGCCGTACTCATGCTAAGTACCTTTTTCATCTACACACAAAAGCAAGCCATTCTTCTTGTAATGCTTATGGGTGTTCCCTGGAGCGTGTGGATGTGGGTCCCATACGCTATGATCGGGGAATTTGTTCGCGAAGCGGAACGCTCCAGCATGTTCCAGTATTCGGACGAACAATGGCCAGCACAGCGCATCATGGAGCACCAACGCAGCAGCATGCACGAGTCTATTCCCGCGCAGCGCCCGCACCCCTATCCGAAGGGGTTTGATGCAACGTCACAGCGCAGTGTGTCGGGTCCGTACGGGCCGTCTATTGTGTCTCGCGGCCCCGATGTTGTTCGCCCGGACGAAAATCCTGCGCTCTTGGAAGAGAGTGCTTGTGGCGGCACAATCCTGGGTATCCACAATTTATCGATCGTTCTTCCGCAGTTCTTAGTGGCCCTGATTGCTTCTTTGATCTTCCGCTCCATCAAAGACGGTCAGGGCGATGTCGCCTGGGTCCTTCGCTTCGGTGGTGTAATGGCTCTAGGGGCGGCTATTTTAACCCGTCTTGTGCCTCTCACACTATCGGAGCGTAAGGTTCGCCATATCGGCTATACATTGCTTCCTGATGAAGAAGAAGCTGGTGGCACGGGACCCGATGATACCGAGGTCTATGAAACGTATATTGACGAGAGCCGGGACTATTGCCTTTCCGAGTGGCTGGTGTGTGATTGTCTATGGGTCCAAATTCCGTGATTCCCTGATATGCTGAATGCTTTGGCGGTTTGTTTCCAGCTATGGATGCGTGATTCAAATGGGTTAGAGGCCCGACCAAGTCCACTTCTTGATATGGACCGTCTATAAGTGTCGAGTCCCAGTCCAGGATCACTATGTCCCACGTATGGGTTACCGTTCATAAAGGTTAGACCCATACAAGGTGAAAGGTGCTCAACCCCATTAATGGATTTCTTACCGACTTGCGCTAACTCCCAGTCCCACCCAACTTTCTTGTGGCTGGGACGGATTGTCAAGCCAAGTACATAGACACGTGTCTACTGGTGGGGTGATCCGTAATTTCATGGGTATACCTTTTTTCCTTTTTTTTTTTCGCACACGCAAGATTTGTATAGGTGTTTCGTGTTGACTGTGTTACAGCAATTGAGACTTTCGCTCAGTATCTTGGAGAGTCACTGCACATTGCGCACGTTGTTCATGTTGACGCATCATCCTTTGGTTTGTCGATGCATCAATATGCCCGATAACCCGATCTGTGAGCTCATGCGAGTGGAGTCAGTTGGCGGCACAGTGCACAAATTCATTTCCACATCCCGGGGTGTGTCGTTGTCAATAACCAAGTGAATGGTGGGTTCCACGGCATTTAGCGGAGCAAACGAGAAGGCACCGATCAGTAAGAAACTCGTTGTAGTGGGTGATGGTGGATGTGGAAAGACGTGCTTGTTGATTGTATACTCTCAAAACCGCTTTCCAGAGGAATATGTCCCGACTGTGTTTGAGAACTACGTGCCGATAGTCGAGTTCCGCGGACAAAAAGTCGAGTTGGCTTTGTGGGACACAGCTGGTCAGGAAGAATATGACCGCTTGCGCCCATTGAGCTACCCGGAGACCGACGTCATTCTTATTTGCTTCGCGATTGACTATCCGACAAGTCTTATGAACGTCAAAGACAAGTGGCTACCGGAGATTTTGCACTTTTGTGATGGAGTGCCGTATCTCCTTGTGGGACTCAAAAGCGATTTGCGCTCCGACCCTGTTCTCTTTCGCTTCTTTCAGCTCAGGGAACTCGCCCGATCTCCCGAGAGCAAGCCGAAAGATTTGCGG